CTAAAGGAAAAAGAACCTCACCTTTCAGCTGTGGAAACACATTCCCAATGCATAGTTTGTTTTTTGCCTATTTTAAACAGTCTTCTGGGAAGTGACCTGAATGAGGTAAACATCAGCCTTGAGTTTATGCTCTGCATCTCTTGGTGGAATGAAGTTGCTGAGTGAAACAGAAAGGATTCTGCTGAACTGCTGCAATCCCACTGCAGTTTTCTTGCTACTTAGGAATTAAGAAACCTACAGACTGCTTAAAAAATAAAGAAAAATCAGACAAATGCTCAATGTGTAGGTTGAAGACATCTAGAATATTGGTCACACACTGTGGTGCTCAGGAAGAACTCCAGCAAGGTCATTGTCCCTCTTTCTAACTCTCAGGCTGGGAGTGGTATATCCTTCAATATCAAGAAATGCTAAAGGCACTAATGTAAGAGGCACAAAGATTTCACTGTAAGGAAGAAGAAGAATATACCTTGAAAAAAATAATCTAATTGTGTAGGCAGCTAAGATTATGGCTTGCCTTCTCTTAGTGCTTTATGGAAACCCAGAAAGAGCAGCCAATGGGAAAAGTACAGTCTGTTATGGACAGGCTTTACAAGTTGCAGTGGGCGCTTTGTTTTACAGCTTAAAAGGTAACACCAACCCTCCAGACTGTGAGGCTAATGAAATCTGTCTTAAAATATTGAGTGTCCCTTCCCACAAAGTCAGCAAGCAGTACAGCAACTATGGTCTTTCCAGAGCTGTCTTGCACCTGGTCACCTGGAGCATGGGCAGGACAGAGTCATTTTTCTAGATGTATGGTGAAATTTGTTGTAAAAAGGAGGTAAGCATCCTCCCTTTCATGAAATGTCCGAGTAAGGTGACTTGTGATAAATTCATGCAGCAACATGAGGTGCTAGACTCTGAGACACATTAGGGCTGCAAAAGTGTTTGAGATAGCTATCTGTCTGAGTTATTTGGCAGGATGCTTCCAGTTCCAGAAATATCATTTCCTATCAGCTAAAGGCTCATGTGTCATTGCTGTTCCAGCTGATGAATGTGCAAACCGCGAGGTGGATGATTTGGAATTAGCTGTGGGTAGTTGGTGGGAAGAATTGAATAAGAGGAGTGGGACACATAAGAACTGCACAGCAATAAAAAATAATTTCTTCCTCCTCTTTTAGCTTCACTACTCATCACTGTCTGTGACGACAGTTCTGGCTTTTTTGATTTTTCCTGCTGTAATTTTTATCATTTTTACTGGTATGTACGATATACCAATACACAGTTGCGAGTTGATGAAGGAGAAAATGAGCATCTGAAAGAGAAGAAAGGTTATCAAAGTGCCTGAGGTGTTTTAATCTACAGCCATACTTCTTGATTAGAAAGTTACATTAAAATTGCATGGCATGTGGTGTACTTCAGTTCCACATTACTGCTGGACATGGAGACAGCATAAACTGGCTGCAAGTTTTTATACACTTATTCTTGGAAGAATGGCTGTAAAAGAAGGAGCTGTCAGTATGTTAGGCATCAGGGCCAGAAGAACTGAGAAGAGTGAATTAAGTGTATAAGAACAGTATTCTTATACATTCTTAATTGTCTTGAAAATGCTGCCCTCAATGCAGGAAAACACTGTCCATCAACTTTTAATTGAAGGAGGAGAATAAGAGGTTTGACTTTAGATCCTCCTGGGAAAAGTTGGTTATCTAAACAAACCCTCACAATCTCTTCTGTAACTTCAGAAAGGAAGGAATGTAATGTGAAGATACTCAATTTTGTGGTTTTACTTACATATCCAGATACATTCATTTTACTAGTAATTTGGTTTTGACTTCCTCCGTTCCCTTCCCTTCCTTGGAAGGGTAAAAAGAAGTACTAAATAATGAAGTAGTTGAATAAATGCAAGTCTTGAATATGAAATTATCTGATAAGAAAATGTTCCAAAATGGTGAAAGGTGGTTCTTACATTTCTCATGGGACAGTGCACACAAGTGTTCATTTTTTTCAATTTGCCAAAGAAGCAAAAGAATATCTGGAGGTTAATGAGGATATTCTTACTACTACAGAAGGATATGGCACATAGGTGTATGCAGATCACATTAGCTAGGTGTCTAGAATAATTGCATTTTGAATGATGCAGAGCCTAGAAAGCTTATCTTCCCTGATCTCTACGGTATTTCAGTGGCTGCCAAAGCACAGAGCAGTGAAGCAGAGAGAGTAAACCAAGCAACTAGGAATAAGCAGAGGAATGCATTCTGGAACCTGCCAGCCTGCGGCCACTCACCTTGCATACAAATCAAATTTTTGCACATAACCCCAGAGTAGAATATATTACACAGTAGAGTATGTCCTCTGCTGTCAGTATAAGAGCAGAAGCCAGTAGTGTCTGGAGATTCTTTCTTGGTTAGGACGGTGGAAAAAAGTGGAATTATATGCTTCTAACTTCTGTTTATGAAAGCACTCAGAAAACAGAGGCAATATGAATGGACTTAGCAGAATCAGTCTGCCAAAGAAGGATCTAATGGGATTGTATGCTTTTAGCAGGAATGGGTAGCCATGAGCAGAAGTGTAAGAAAAGTATATGCTCATCATCTAAAATGGGAATGTTCCACTTCCACGCTTACTCCCAGGACATTCACTTAAGTATGCAATTGCTAAATAAACCTCACTTTACCTGTTCAAGATCTAATGGTGGAAGGCACCTTCTTGTGCCTCATCTGTCTCAATACTCCCACCAAAATCAATTGATTGTGCAGAGGGTTTGCAGGATCAGGCCCCTAAAGGATAACTGTTTCCATTCTTTTACTTAGGCTTGAAATATTTCTAGTATTCTTGCAAAATATGGCTGAAGGTGGCTGTTAGACTAGACTAATTCATAATTAGAGACCAGGATATTCAACTTCAATTCAATGACCTTCTTGCACCGCTGAAAATATAACTCTCATCCTTAAATAAAATCCATACTTCCAAGTGCAGGACACAGAGGTTTACAGAGTAATAGATTTTACAGAGTAATTTGCTACAGAGAGTTAGCAAAAACTTCCACATGTATTTTGAAATCAGAAGGTTATCATTGGTTTAGAAGACATCATACTGGGCAGATTTTGCTAAAAATAAGGTTTTGATCCTGCCCCAAAATATTTCTTCTCTGTGCTTCTAATTTGAATTTTGTCAGTCCTTAGAGAAGTGATTCCCCTCCCTCACCTAGACCCAGCTCTGTCTCTGATATTTTAGACAAGTGAAAAACAGAAGGAAGTATTTTGAATAACTACAGTTAACTTTTGTGTTAGTAATTTCTTTCAGTGAAAAACTCAGTGGAAGCACAGAGAAACAGCAATGACAGACAGTGATGTTTCAAAGAACACGACAGCATTTCTTTTCCTTTAGAATTACCATTGCATTAGTTTTTGCTTGTTTGCAAGATTTTCCTTCTGAGGAGAAAAGGAACTGCTCTTCAGTCACATCTACTACTCATTTTTTATCAAATACTGTGTGGAAAAGACACACATTTTTTGAGGTGATAAAAAAATGATCAGGTCCTCCAGAAGAGAAAAAAAATAGATTTTTTTTTTAGGTATGTTTTAACTTTAATCATTTGTAACCATTTGTCATCCAAAGGGTAGTGAAAAGCCACTGCTATTTAGTTTTGAATCTGTTTTGTTTGCTTAATAACAATTACTGAGACAGTCTGTAAAAGGCGTAGTCTAGTTTAACACTGTAAAACTAGCTTTTGAAAACATGGGTAGTTTAAGAATTTAATGGTCAAAAGCTTTAAAAGTACAAAATAGCTTTTTAGGGTAAAAAATAGTTGATAGTTTAGGAAAAAAATGAAAACAACCTTTTTCTGCATGTGGCAACTATCCCATGTTTAATCCAAGTGTGACAATTGAGTTCCCGTAATGCACTATTCAAGTAAAAAGTGTTCAGTCTTCAGCTCAGACCCAGGGAACAACTGCCGTGAGTAAGGACTGCAATATTTAACTCTATGGAAGGAACAAAAAATGTCCTTTGGCACACAAGTTTTTCAATTTTGTAAAATAACTTTGAGAGAAAAAACAAGAATGCATGAGAGCACTTTTTAGTAAATTGCAATCTGAAGAAAGTCACATATTCCTAGTGCTATTATATAGTGATTTTTACTCATGGCCTATCAACTGTGATCTGCTACAATGACACAAACAAGCAGGAATCTTGTCCTGCTTCGAGTAGAGTACTTTAGAAATCAATGACCATCCTGTGTTTAACCAGTCATAAAAAAGACAGTTAAAAGCTTGAAAAACTGTAGAAGTTATGCCTACAGCTGCCTCAGAGACAGGCAAGTCTTTTATTCATATCAAAATAATAGCTTTCTTATAACTCTGCCTTTTCACCTTAAGTTAAAACCAATATGTGTAGGTAAGTGGCTAACTCCATGAATCCCAGACCTTTGCGGAAAGTAACATCTATGTTTTGATCCCACCAGAGACATTTCTTACTGTCTTTTGGTGGTTTCTCTATAGCAAGCAGAATCACCAATGAAATATTTCCCAAAACCTATGGGACATAGCTCAAGCAAGTTTAAATACAAATGAGTGGTTTCGTTGGCTTTGGCTTATTTGCCAGTGCCAGTGTATGTTGCTCTGAGCCTCAGGGATATGGCAGCATTTTGAAGAAAGTATGTGAATGAAGAACAAAAATGACATATTTAACTTTTGCCTGAATTGTATATAGCTTCTATGCCAAGGGAGAGTAGTAAAGATTCTAATATACAATAATTATTCATAAACATCGCTTACACTACAAATTCAGCTGAATTTTGTAAGAATCTTTTCCTTAAAATGAATAGCAGTAAGGAGAGAATTCTTCCATGTTTTTCTTTTTCAGGCAATTACATATTAAAATTCTTCATCAGGCTCTGTGATGGTGAAGGTTAATGTGGCCTTTATAATTTGAGATGAAACTGACCGCGTCCTTCACTTTTTCTGCACTTTCACCATCCCTCCGCGCTGTGAAAACACAGCAGTCTTCACCACTACAGGCAACATTTAAAGATAGAGGTATCCAACCCAATAGACCAGGTTGAACAGCAGGAAGGATGTAGGAAAAAAAACCCTAGAGTAAGAGTCCAGTTCTAAGATGTCTATGTGAATCCGTCCTCTCCTCCATGAGCCTGATTTACACTCTTCGTAACAACAGAAAAAGCTCTGGCAGTCTTTCCCATCCAGACATTCATAGACGCACGCATCTTCAAATTCTTGCCAGTACATGGCATTGTTCAATGTGATGACTGTAGTTGGTGGTCTCATATCAAGTACAGAATAATTCTGAGGAGAGAAAAAGAAACGAACAATTTGATAAACTTCCATGGATGATGCAGATCACGATTAATAATCATGGGAAAAAATCACAGGAGCTGGGAATAAGAGGTCAATACTATAGGAATTCTAGATTTGGGGAATCATCTTTCTGTCCCTCAAAAGATGCCTTTTCAGATGAACTTCCATAGAGAGATTGTGGAGTGGCAAGTTAAATAATTCTAGGTGTATTTTCTACCTGGGCAACTCAAGCATATATTGCCTAGTAATAATTTTTTCACACTTAGGAGTTCACTTGCCTGTCAGAATATTAGTTGCAAGTTGCTTTAAATACTTGCAGCTACTACATTTAGGAATGGACTCTGAAAAATAAGGAAGACGTGTGTGTCCCCCCCGTTTAATTACAGAACGATAGTGTAGCCGCATTCACTGCCTCTTAACTTTACCATGATTTATAAAACAGATATGGTCAGCAACAGATAGTGATGATTTCAGTACAGGATTTCAAAATGCCATCGCTAGGCATGTCCCATTAGTGCTTATTACACTAACCATGCTCAGAAATAGGGCACTTTGATATCATGAATCCACACAGTACCACTTGCGCCTACAGACCTCTCCTTCTTCAATGTACTCCCTATTTACACTTTGTCAGCTTTTCTGTCACACCATTTCCTTTTCCTGAAAGGTGCTTTCTCACGATAGACTCCTCTCTCATCGAGCCACCCGTTCCATCCTCACAAGTGTCACCTCCTCCACTGGCATCACTAGGAAAGGTCCCATCATCATCGCTGCCTGTCTGCACTGCCTCGACAAAGCAGACTCCAGCCCTGCCAGCACGGTTTTCTCCACCTCGGGGGCCCTTCCTCTCCCTGTGATTGCGCTGAGCATTGCCTTTGCCTGCAGGAGCATGCCGGGCATGTACTACCGAGCTAGCCATGCCTCTGCATCTTGCCTGCATGCATTCTGGAGGGTGCTCTGGGCCCCTGCTTCCACACTTGTTATACAAAACATGCAACGTTTCCTGTTAAAGATCTTGGGGCGTATCTGAAAACTTTCACTCTGTATGTGAAACAGAACAGTGATATGATTGATGTGCCTTAGGAGAAATTTTCCTTTTTCTGTTGACTTTGTTTTCTTTCTACAAATCCTTTGATTTGGCACATGATAATATTACCCATCTCATTAAATTGCTGGTCCCTGAGCTAAGATCTTGATGCGGCATCCCTCTGCTTAGGTGTTGGCATTTCCAACATAGATAACTACATCTGAACAACTGCCCTATGGTATCCAGCCAATTACTTCTAGGACACAATTCATCTCATCATAAGTAGATGGCTAAAATCTCTCAGGTGCATTGTGCTGTGGACTGTAAACAGATTGCAGTTTAGAAGCAGATTATTACAAATCTATTTGTTGTGAATGACTTTATCTCTGAGATTAGATGACACAAATAATGCCTGCATGGTCCTCTCTCATTTGTGAAGTTTCAGGTGGCTGGTATCAGAGCTTTACAATGTGCTGCCACATGGAAAAGGTCTAAGATTATTGTACAAGCCGTCATTTTTTGACTGAAGTACCTTGGAGAGAAAAAAAGCTATGACTAAAGTATACATGGAATTCTGCTATACCACCGTGTCACATATTCATTTCTTGCAGTCCTTTATGAAAAATTCCTACTCAGGGACTGAAATTTTCTATGCCTGGCTACAATATTTATGTTAAAAAGAAAACGTGGTGGGTTGACCCTGGCTGGATGCCAGGTGCCCACCAAAGCTGGTCTATCACTCCCCTTCCTCAGCTGGACAGGGGAGAGAAAATATAACGAAAAGCTCGTGGGTCGAGATGAGGACAGGGAGAGATCACTCACCAATTACTGTCATCAGCAAAACAGACTCGACTTGGGGAAAAAAAAACCCTAATTTATTACCAATCAAACCAGAATACTATAATGAGAAATAAAACCAAATCTTAAAAACACCTTCCCCCCACTCCTCCCTTCTTCCCGGGCTTAACTTCACTCCCGATTTTCTCTACCTCCTCCCCCACAGCGGCGCAGGGGGACGGGGAATGGGGGTT